ATCTTGGGTTTACTCTGGTCCTCCTCCTCCTCCTCCTCCTCCTCCTCCTCCTTCTCCTCCTCCTCCTCCTCCTCCTCCTCCTCCTCCTCCCCCTGCTCATCCCTCGCGAACACATCAGACATTGAGTCGAGCGGACACGGGCGAGTGCCCCCCAAACACCTCAACCATCGAGCCGCTCTCTCTCTCGTCAGCGCGGGGAGGGAGGGGGGGGGAGGGGAGGGCGAAAATTCGAGGTCGAAGTGGGTCCAATCTCTCTGCCACGTTTGGCCCAATGCCCACTTTTTGACGTCGCCAGACAAAATGATCGCCGCCAGCTGGGGAAACCACAAGGTGCCGCTCCTGCCACTCCCCGGACCTCTCCAAGGGGGCGTTCTGACCAGAATTCCGAGGCGAGTCCAGCCGTGGCGACGAGAGCCTACCAGGAGGCCCAGACCAAGGCCAAAGCGAGCTAAGAAGGGTAGCGAAATCGGCACCTCCTCCTCCTGTTCCTCCTCCTCCTCCTCCTCCTCCTCCTCCTCCTCCTCCTCCTCCTCCTCCTCCTCCTCCTCCTCCTCCTCCTCCTCCTCCTCCTCCTCCTCCTCCTCCTCCTCCTCCTCCTCCTCCTCCTCTGATAGGAGCCTCCTGGATAGGGTCCGCGCACATGCATCGGCGTGGCATCGGCGAGGCATCGGCGAGGCATCGGCGAGGCATCGGCGTGGAGGCCATGAGGCTCCACACCGAGCCGCATCGCCGGTGCGCCGGCGGCGCGGCGCGATCCTTGGACACCATCTGCTCGGACCCCACCCGGGAGGCCCCGCATCTGGCCGGGCGGGCCAGCCGGCTGCCGGCCCGCCCGTGCCCCGCGGCGCCGGGCTGGCCCCGCTGCGGAGGCCCTGGGCGCCCTCACGCGAGCAGGGCGGCCGCCACGGCCGCCGCGAGCGCGCCGAGGAGGGCGGCGCCGGTGCGGGGAGAGGCGCCGCTGCGCTCGGCGGACTCGCCAGAGAAGACCACGAGCTCCTGGGGGATGCCATCGCTGCCGCCCACGCGCATGATGACGTGCTTGCCGCCCTCGAAGGGCGACGGGATCCGTGCACGGGTCCACCAGCCCTGGCCAGGGCCCTCCTGGGCCCCGGGGCGGCCCCCCGGCTCGGCCAGGGAGGCATACGCACCGACCCTGGGCCCAGGAGGGGCCTGGCCAGTGGCAGGGGAGTTGTGTACAGATCTCGCCGGACCTCGGCGGCCGTCAGGGCGACCGTCTTCACGCTCTTGCCGCTCGCGTCGTCCAGGCTGACCTGGTAGGCTCCCGCGGCAAGGGTCACGGCCGTGCCGGGCTTCAGTTGCACCGCCTCGGCGCGCCTCTTGTTGCCCTGCGCGATCTTCAGGGCGCCCTGCGAGCTGCCGTCGTAGGCGTCGACCACCGCGACCTGCGCGCTCTCCTGCGCGACGGAGAACGCGTGGGAGTAGAAGGTCGCCGCCATGGTGCTGTTGCCCTTGCGGTACGGCACCAGCAGCAGCGACGTGGGGGCGAAGGGGAGGTTGCCGACGTGGAACGTGCCGACGCTGAGGCCCCCTAGCTTGAAACCCGCCGACCCCTTGTGGGTCTCTGGGCGTGCGAGATTCTTCCCCCCGCTGCAATCCCACCCTGGCCCCCAAATGTCCCTAAGAAGCTTCCTACCTCCAAGAGGCCCCCAATAGGGACCCAAACAAAGACGGGGGGGGGCTCTGTGCAAGGTCATCGATTATTTATTATTCTTGGCCGTCGCTGGTGGAGACCCTAATTGAACTAAGGTGCCCTGCACGCTGTAACATAGGGGGCTGATTCCTGGCGAAACGTTGGCCCGAAATCGGACCAGATTCCAGAAAAGGTTTTCCTGAATTCTTGGTCCCGTCCTTCCTGCGGACACACCCTCTGTTCGTTACGCGCTGTCGGATTTCTTATTCTTGGCTCTGCGCTTCCCGCAGACAGACCCGCGACAAATTCCCCCCGCCGTGCCCCGGGCCCGAGGATGGCGCCTCTTAATTCCTGGGTGCTGCTCGCCAGAGGGACCCTCCTCCTCCTTTTCCTCCTCCTCCTCCTTTTCCTCCTCCTCCTCCTCCTCCTCCTCCTCCTCCTCCTCCTCCTCCTCATCCTCCTCCTCCTCCTCCCTCCGCCCTCCTCCTCCTCCTCCTCCTCCTCCTCTTCCTCCCTCCCTCCCTCCCTCCCTCCCTCCCTCCCTCCCTCCCTCTCGATTCTCGGGCGGCGCTCGCCGCGGCGACCCAGCCACAGCCCGCGCCCCAGCCCGACCATGGCGCCTCCTGACTCCTGAACGAAGCTCGCCACAGGGACCCACCAGCCCTCACGTGGCTCGCCCACCTCCCTGGCGAACCTCCTTCCGATTGCCTCCGCGACTCGTCTCTCGAGCCGTCCCGTCGTCCTTCCCGCCTGGCCTCCTGTTGGCATGAGGGGAGCGGGTCCAACGGGCAGCGGTCCTGACCCCCGTGAATAGCTTTTTGGTCCAAAATTCAGAGAACGACGCTCACGTGCGGATGACGGTGCCCACGAAATACACCAGACAGACCCTGAGAAATGCGAGGCTTCTGGCACGGAGATGGCGCCCCTCGCTTCCCGTGCGCCGCCTCTCGCTCCAGGGGCCCGCCCACCCCCAGGACCTCGGCCCGAAGGGAGCGCTTCTTTGACTCCTGGACGCCGCTCGCCGCCTTGAGATGCCGATGGCAAGACAACCACCTCGTAATTATTGGCCCGTTGGCTAAGTAAGCACAGGTCACCCGGAGATACACCCCGCCCTTCCCTTAGGTCGGGCATGTCCCCCTAGAGGTGGATTTTGAATGATGGTTTGTTTGTTCAGTTGTTCTGTTGCTTTTTATGCTCCCCAATGGTCAAAAATAATTGAAAAATCGTCCCCAGAGCATGTTCTGACAACTTTTGAATATTCCTCCTGTAGAGGGACACGCCCGACTTAACCCTTCCCCCCCAAACAGCCCCAAGAAACCACCAAGAGGCCCGTGGCATTGTATACGAAAGGCGTGTTATTGCTATGCTCATCGGAATTTGAACCTTGGCGCTGCCTTGTGCTGACACGCGGTGGATGCTCGTTGCCCTCGTAGACACGTAGACATTCGCACGCTCGTCCGGGGGGGGGGGGGGGCGCATCCGCCCCCCGTGGCGCTGGCAGCGCCCCGGGGAGGGCAGGATGACACGGCAGAACTTCACGGAAGACGAGCAGAGCAAACCACCCAATGTCCAGTCTTTACGTGCTCTAGACGTTCAACCGCGAAGCGAGAGGAATCCACGTCCAGAAGGAACGTGTTGCTTGAGGCAGGTCCGCAGATGCGATGGTGCAACGTATCCAATGTATCCTGTGAGTGTACAAACTCCATGCATCTAAGTTTTAGGTATTTGCTACATGCTGTATGTTTTCACATTATTATGCACCCCCCTGCCCCCCTGGCCAGAGTCACGCCACATCCGTAGACCAAAGATGGCGGAACCTTCTCTAGCTCACAGACGTACAGAAAGTACAAAGCATCAATGAGTTTGACATCTTGAAACCTCTTGGGGGCCCAAGAGGGCCTCAAGACGGCTCAAGATGGCCTCCAGACAGCCGCAAGACTGCCTAAGATTGCCCCACAGGGCCCATGAGGCCCCCAAGACGGTCCCAGGGGGCTCCAAGTGGGCCCCCAAGACCAGCTCAAAAGCCCACAACATTGATTTCCCGATGGGCGTTGCAAGATTTCCTTCTTTTGCAGCTTTCGGGGGCCCATGACGGTCCAAGCAACCTGCAAGATAATCCCGAGACGGCCCCAGAGGCCCCCAAGAGAGCCCCGAGACGGCCGTGGAGGGCCCGAAGATGTTCCAAAGAGGCCCCCCAAAATGACTCAAGAGGCACCCAAAACGGCCCAAGAGAACCCCAGGAGAGCCACAAGGCGGCCCCGAGAGGCCCCCCAAGACGGCCACCGACGGGGCCAGACAGGGCAAGAGTGCCCCAAGACGGCCCGCGAGGCCTCCGAAGGCCCCAGAAGGCCCCAGAAGGCCCCAAGAGGCTCCCTAATGGCCCGCTAATGGCCCCCAAGCAGCCTCCAAGAGGCCTCCAATAAGCTCCCAAACGGCCCCACGAAACCACCAGGAGGCCCGCGGAATTGTATACGAATGGCGCGATGCTGCTATGCTCATCGGAATTTGGACCTTGGCGCTGCCTCGTGCTGACACGCGGTGGATGTTCGTTGCCTCGTAGACACGTAGACATTCGCACGCTCGTCCTGGGGGGGGGGGCATCCGCCCCCCGTGGCGCTTTGGCAGCGCCCCGGGGCGGGCAGGATGGCACGGCAGAACTTCGCGGAAGACGAGCAATGCAAACCACCAAATGTTCAGTCTTCACGTGCTCTAGACGTGCAACCCGCGGTGAATGCTGACATGCGGTGGCTGACATGCGGTGAATGCTCGTTGCCCTCGTGGGCATGGGTACGCTCGTTCCGGCGCTGAAGCGGGGGGGAGCGCATACGCCCCTCGTGGCGCTGGCAGCGCCCAGGGGCAGCAAAACGACACAGCAGACCGTCGTGGCAGACGAGCAAAGTAAACCACCCAACGCCCAGTCTTTACGTGCTCCGAAGGTGCACCCCGCGGAGCGAGAGGAATCGATGCGCTCGCTGTCCGCCAGCTCGAGGACGATCTCCTTGCAGGCCTTGTAATGCAGCGGCTCCTCCGTGAGCTTCGCCTTCTGGTTCACCGTGTAGACGCTGAGGGGCTTGCTCTCCGCGTAAGCGTTGCAGACGGTCAGGTTGTGCTGCACGCCCACGTCCTCGACCTGCAGGGCGGAGCCGGCGGAGGCCAGGGCGAGGAGGGCCAGGGCACGGAAGGCAGCCATCGCCGCGAGGAGCGAGGGGGTCTGCTGTGTGCAAATGGACTTCGGCAACCAGAAGATGCGCGATTGGATCAAGACGGCTTCAGACGAGTGGTTGCGGAGGGGGGGCCCGGGGGAGGAGGAGAGGAAGGAGGAGAACGGGGAGGGGAAGGTGGAGAGTGG